ATTAAACCAACAGTAGAAACCTGTCACGCTGGGGAAAAAACCTATACAAGTTAAACAAGATCAGCTCAAACGGTGTGTTCACCCCGTGTCCTGGCTCAGCAACTGGGGCGGGGGGGCTAGAGCTTTCCATCTGAAAATGATAGAAAACAGTAGGCAATTATGCCACTGGTTTTTTGCAACTGGTGGGGCGGGCGCCTGGAGGGCCCCAAGGGCGCCCCCGATTTAAGCCAGGAAAGCTTTCCAGCACACAAACGGGCCTCAGTGTTTGTTCCCATTGACAGATGAAGATGATATCACAGCTTCCTGGTCTTGCTCAGTTACGCCCCAGAACGGATATTAGCATTGCGAGACAGCGGGTTGGAACAAACTGAACCCCGTGGGATTTTTAAAATATGTTGATAAAATTTAAAAAAAAAAATCTAAAGCATGTTGACCATATGAAAGACCTAACGGCAGAGGTGTTAGCCGGATGAGGCAATAATAATTCTGCCCCGGTTCCCCTTCCAGCTCACGGACCTTCCTCCTGAATCTTTCATGGCAGGGAACCAGGCTAGCCTCACCACCGAGCCATAGCGGCATGAACGACAGGAGCCGGGGGGCATAGCCCCAGAAACGTGGAGGTGAGCAGCCCTGGTGAGCGCCGTTGCTGGAAGCCATCGGCCCTGTGCTCAGCCTGAAGTCGTGGGGCGTCTCCCTGGTCTTTGGAGGAAGAGGGACAGTTTAATCCCTGGTCCCCAAGAACCAGACTGAACTGTCTTGGTAGCACTCCTGCCCAACGCGGTGACCTTCCTTACTTCTGATCCTGGCGATCCGCTGCGTGGGTTGTGCAAACACGGGCCGTTGAGAGTCCAGTGCATTGTACGAATAGAGTATTGCCAGTGGGTATAACTGATGAAACTAGTCTAGTGTTGCTGCAACTAGTCTAGTCCAGCCCGCGAGGGAAGCGAAGCAGCCACGCCTTCCCCAACCTGCCTGTTTCTCGGTTCGGGGCAGGAGGCCCTGCTTTACCCTGATCGTCACCCCCACAGCCATCTTACCCAGCCAAGGAGCCCTGGGCGCAGCTCACAGAAAAATTTGAGATCAAAGACACCGATGCGTGGGTTCAGCTCGTGGCCCATGAAGAAGTCATAAATGGGGTTTCCTGCAGGAGGGAAGAAGAGAAAAGAAAAAGCTTTCCCTGAAACCTTGGGTGATCAGGGGCTCTGCTCCTCTCCTACTTTCCAGGAGCCCTGCTCAGTGCTCTTCCCAGAGGTCTCTCTCAACCGTGCGGATGGGAAACTCCAGAGGTGATCCTGAGTACCACAGTTCTGCCCCACAGAACTTCCCCAGAATCCCTTGCAAAGTCCAGCCAGAGGCAATGCCCCAGTCCTGGGCAGGCTAGCTGATGGGGAAAAAGGGATCTCCAAAGACCGACAATTTGCCAACCCTTGCCAGAAAACGTCTTTCTCGAAACACTGGACTGGAAGGGTTTGCAAAGGATGCTAAACCTGAGCTGCAAGTAACAGACCCCAAAGTCTAGTCCAGTGTTTCTCAACTCTGGCAACTAGAAGATGTCTGGACTTCAACTCCCAGAATTCCCCAGCCAGCATACTTTAAGAAGTCTGGACTTAAAGCATGCTGGCTGGGGAATTCTGGGATTGTAGTCCACACATCTTCAAGCTGCCAAGGTTGAGAAGCCCTGGTCTCATCTGTTTTAGAGTGGTGGGCAAACAAGGCTGCAAAGGGGGCCGGGATGCCTCCTCCAGGCACTTGCTGGTCACACAGCCCCCCTTGAGCTTTCCTGGGTTTGGGAAACTCACCTGAATTCCCGCCGGGAGCCAGGGCCGTCTCCGGGGCCAGCAACCCTTTAAAATAGAGGAGGACGCTGAGGCCGAAGGCGAGGACGCTGGCTGCGAAGGCCAGCTGCAGGATGTGGTCGTAGATGTAACTCAGGCGCAGCCCCGTGGCCAGCCCGGCGCCCACCATCAGTGCGGTGACTAGCATGGCGTGGGAACCTGCCACGAATGAAAAAGGAGGGAGGGGGA